GAAAGAGGGGATATAGAATGATTTGGAGAATGGGGGAGGGAGGGAGACAGATAGAACATGAGCAAGGTAACGAGAGAAAAACTGGGGAAGGAGGGAGGGTTAGAAGAGGAGAGAGAAAAGGTGGTAGTCGATATAATAAGCGGCTTACAGGCGGTCTCTCTTCACCTCATGGGGCAGACATCACTGCTCTCTCCCTCTCCCTCTCTGTGTCTATCTCTCTCGCTCTCCCTCTCTCTCGCTCTCTCTCTTTCCCCTCGCTCCGGTCCGCCAAGATTAGCTCAAGCAAGCAGGATTTAATAATGCCTATTGATAAAATGTCCAAATATTCCTTTTCCCCATTAGAAAAAAAAAACACGCTTTCTACGTCTCGGCCTGACAGCGCGCACACACACACACACACACACACACAAATTCAATGACAGCAAGAGTAGCTATACTGTGTGTCTAGAGAGTGTCAAGACATGTAAGGCTTAAATGAGGTGACATTTTAAATTTCATCTGTTATTCCCCATTAGCCAGGAGCTTGTCACAAAGTACAGAAAACTTTATATTGTCAACTGTCACATTGGTCAGTGCAGCAATAGTTTACTGCTATCTCAAGATGTGGTGTTTGTTGATGTGCATATAAATGTTTTCTTTTAACTGGATTTGTATTCTTTATAATTCTTGATATTTTATTCTGAATGAATATGTGTTTAAAGGATAAGGTTGGTCTATTATATTATCTATTATATTTTTTATTATCATATAAAATCCCATTAAAAGTTCAAAAGCAACAACGCATTAGTGCATCTCTCAGTAGTTTCTGACTTCCCTACCTTGTGTGTAGCTCTAAGCCCCAAGCCTATTTGTTCCTACATTGTAGTTTTTTGTTTTTTTTTGCACTAGTTACTGTTACAGGAGTAAACAGTGCTTTTGTTCGGGATTCTTTTCAGCCGTAGATTGTTGCACTAGTGAGTATTTATGGCAGCAAAAGAATGTATGGGAGATTGACTCAAAATAAACTACAGTGCCATGCCATGTAATGAAGAAAAATGTCACCTTTTACAATGCTGTGGCTCATTGTTTGTTTTGGCCTTTGCAAAGGATTAATTGGCAAGAAGAAGAATATATAATATTGCTGTGGAGTGTTATCTTTGTATGGTGTTTAAGTACGGCTGGACAATGAACCATATGTATCACATTAGAAACATTAAGGATCTCTGTACCTAAATTTACTCTCATCTCAGTTTTCAATAATTAAATAGCCTGGATCCCAAATAATCAAGCTTAAAACAATGACAGTGACAATAAACCACCTGATGGGTCCAAAGTCCAGTTCAGAATCTTTTCTGTAATTAATCTAGACACGCAGAAATGGAAGGGAATGTCATATAATGATACTTACAAAAGTATTAAAAATACTTATTACATTTATCAAGACAATTTATCATAATAGATAGATTTTACATACTTCTGTCAAGTCCTATGTTTAAATGGAATCTGGACTTGACTGGGGTCACTGCAGGTACAGAGGCTGAGACACAACCGTTGTTACTCTGATGAATAAAATCAGTAATTAAATTAAATTCCAGTATTAACCAGGCAGAAGGAACAAATTGTTAAAAGCATAGACATGTTCATCCTCTAGAATAAGTGTATGTGAGGGGTATTGTGTATCTTAAGCTGCATCCTAATTCTTCCCTTCCCCCTTAACTCTGACCCCTCCCTTTTGATTGTGTGTTCACATGAAATGTCCCACCACACACCTTTGCCCTGTCAAATGACAGTTTTGCCCCTCCCCCCATGTCCACAGATGTGTGTCACCATGACACTTGACATCACGGACCACCCAAAAACATCTTGGGAAGATGAACAGTAGAGGGTGGTAATGCAACATTAACATCCCACCCTGATGCTGAAGGGGAAGGTTTCAGGGGGAGAATGTGGACAAAGCCTTACTGTACTCTTCTTTCAGGTTGTTTCCTTTTGGGATGTCAGAGATTGTACAACTGTACGTGTTAAACCAAGATGCCTCAAGGCTATTTGTGAAAATCAAAAATAACACCAAATAACACTGTGCCCAAGAGTTCAGTGCAGTACCAATAATGTAAAGTTCTAAACCGGATATTTCTTGCCATGTTTTCATACTGTCAGATTAACTTTCTTTAATACAAAGTTATGTGCCTGTATGTGAGTGTGTGAACACATGCATGTGTGTGAGAGAGAGCAAGACAGACAGCACTAAGTAATAAAGCTTTGTAAAGCATATGTGAATCTGATGGTTAATCCCCAACTCCAATAACATTAATAGCCCAGGGTGATAAAAAAATAAAACTATGTGTGTGTGTGTGTCTGTGTGTGTTTGTGTACGTGCATGCATGTGTGATAAGTATGTGGTGCCTGTTTGTGTGCGTGTGCCTCCCAGGTTGAGGTGCACTGTAGGAAATGAAGGGATCAGGAGTAGAGAGCAGATTACTCTTCCTGAGGATAATGAAATTATTTCTCACCTTCAATTACTAGATGAGGAAAGGAAGCAGTGTAGGTGTGTGTGTATGTGTGTATCAGCTTAATAAAGTTATGGGTCCCAGGCACTAAACCTTGTTACCCCGAAAACCATATGTGCAGCCTACAGGGGTTGTGTGCTAGAAATAATGTTAACTCCCCTCTGGCTACTGTTAGTTTAAAAATAATTTAAACCTGTCAGAAATACTAAAAGTTTAGTCTTTCTGATACAAAAGGTGTTTCTTAACATGGCTGTGCATCTGTTCATTTTATACATGAAGAGGTTTGATAAATGTTCTTTTCCGAAAATTTTTTCCCCTTTTTGGAGTGGCTTATTCATGCTTCTGTGCCATAGGGCTGCACGCTTTTCTCAGAAATATGTGACTGCATTTATTATTTTATTTTCAACCACTGTCTGAACAGTCACTGGAGCTTATTTCAAGAACACTTTAGTCTCCGCACATGCAACATGCAAATATAACCCAAGTGCAATTTCTAGTGAAGGATAAATCCTTTTATGTGTTTGAATGCTGTGGCATTATTATTATTATTATTATTGAGTTCAATTTCAGTTATTATATGACTATATTATATTTATATAAAGCTTTAAGGTTTACTGCTTAAATGTGATTTAAGGCAGTTTTCTGGCAATGTACAGCAGAATTTTTCCAGAAGTTTACAAAGATTGATCAGTAGTGATGAAACCTAATCAGGATTTCAATACAGATTTCCCTGTGCAAAAATAATTGTGATTTTCATTTAATTCGCAGTCCTTCATTGACTGATGTTTTAAATGACTTCAGATTTAATTCTATGGTTTATTTTGTTTTGGTATCTACCCAACTTGCAGGATAAAAAAGGATGTAACATTTTTTTAGTACAAACATATATATTTTTCCTATGGTGTGGCCTAATATCGACTGAAGACCTACTGTAGGGATAAAACAAAACAGCTGAATAAAAGGCGTGAGTACTGGACGCAGGTGCATGCTCTACATTTCTGCTTCTTGATGCTGTGTTTGCTTAGAAACACGTCCTCAAGACATGCTTAATTCCTGGGGGGGGGTTTATAAACCCACATACACGCAATGTTAACAGTGCTGGCGGTGGGAGGCCTGCTGAACTAATCACATTTATAGGTTGCAGCTACCCATTGAATCTAGTGTATAATGCTGAGGTCCTAAACTCTCATCCCTCCACATTCTGGTGACCTGGGGCTGACCCTGGGAACTCCCCGAGTTATGGCAGCGCTAATCTGGCCTCAGTAGCTGTTATAGTAATCACATGCACAGGGATGGAATTATCCATCCATCCTTCCGTTTTCTGCTGCTTATCCAGGTTTGGGTTGTGGTGGGATAAGAAAGGTAAACCGGTCACCAAGGCAGCCGGTAGACAGAAGGGATGTAATTAGATAAAGGGCTATTTCAAATACCTGAAGGCGATCCAAGTACTATTTTGGGGAGAGACAACTTAAAGTAACCCACTAGCTAAGCTAAGCTATCAGTACTTGTTTGATACAAGGCCATTCTCAGTACCAAGAATTAATTAAACAGAGCCTGAGAACTTTCATTTAAAAGATAACGGGATCTGCTTAAGTAAGCTTGTACTGCTGAAAGCAATATTGATTGCTGCGTTTCAGACAGTTAAAATGCCCTCAAAGTTGAAACAAACTTCATGTAGTCCGAATGTTCTTGTAGGTCTGACATATTGTTTACCGACAACCCTGCCTGTACCATCAGAAAAGTCAGTTTACA